GGCATTATGGTGGGTGCCTGTGGTCCCAGCTGCTTAGGAGGTAGAGGCAGGAGACTTGCTTGAGCCCAGGAGTTGGAGGTTGCTGTGAGCTGTGATGCCACGGCACTCTACCCAGGGGGACAGCTTTAGGCTCTGTCTCAAAAAAAGAAAAGAAAAAGAAAAGAAAATAGAAAGGAACAAAATGCTAATGAAAGAAATTCTCATAATTTGTGGCCTATGGAAGCACTAAAATCTCAAGAAACCTGATCAGCATAAAATTACTCTGTTCCTATACACTGGAAAACTTTAACTTTGTCTTCAAATCTTATGTATTTCTTGTTACGTGTCCTGCATTTTACATAAAGGAGGGAGGATGTTTGAGAGGAAGAGTCTTGACTGATCCTTCTCAGGATTCCTGGGTACAGATGACATGCCCTCTGTTTCTTTCCCAATCCAATATTTGGCATAGTTTATGGATGTATGTTCTTGTTACAGTGATGCAGAGGAATATAATGGTTAAAAAAATTAGGGAAAAAAATGTTGTGTTATGCTTGTATCCTTTCTGGTTCTAGTGACCACAAGAATACACTGTCAGAGTTTTAAGTTTCCCAACATTCGTAGCCCACACCTTTCAGTAATATTTTTTGTCTCCTACCTCTGCAGTGACACTTCCTTTTTCCATGTTTTTTCTTCAGATGAAGTGAGAATAAAATATCTTTAGATTATGAATGTTCATGGTTAATGAGTTTCTAGCTGCCCCAAAATAGCAGATACATTTTAATTTTTCAATTGTATATGGAACTTATTATTATTATTATCTTGGAGACAGAGTTTCACTTTGTCACCCTCAGTAGAGTGCAGTGTCATTATAGCTCACAGCAACCTCAAACTCTAGGGCTTAAATGACTCTCTTGTCTCAGCACCCTAAGTATCTGGGACTACAGGCTCCTGCTACAATGCTGGGCTATTTTTTAGAGACAGGGTCTCACACTTGCTCAGGCTGGTCTTGAACCTGTGAGCTCAGGCAATCCACACACCTAGACCTCCCAGAGTGTTAGGATTGTAGGCATGAGCCACTACACCTGGCCTGGTACTTGTAATTATTTTTCTGCCATTTGTACATTTTACAAAGGATGTTCATGGAGCTCTTCTGGCCAGGGAAGATAATTGCTTTATCTGTTGTTGCCATCTTTGTTTCTGAGGTTGCAACTATTGCCACTGAATCAATAAGCCCTTGTCCCACTAGCCAGGCAGGGTGCAGTACTTATAATCACTTTACACTGTAAGTGACCAGCCATATCTTTTACAATGCTGTTCATAGAATACAGTGAAGTTGATAAGGAATATGATGCTTTCACTATTGTAATAACAAAACAAACACAGAATGTTATTTGATACAGGTTTATACTTAAATATGTGTTAGGCAGAATGCAAAGAACTATATATAAAATTTAGATACAGAGTCTAACATGATTACCCTTGGTAGAGAGCCATGGCATCACAGCTCACGGCAACCTCCAACTCCTGGGCTTAGGTGATTCTCTTGCCTCAGCCTCCCGAGTAGCTGGGACCACAGGTGCCTCCCACAATGCCCAGATATTTTTTGTTGCAGTTTGGCTGGGGCCAGGTTTGAACCTGCCACCCTTGGTATATGGGACTGGCATCCTACTGACTGAGCTACAGGTGCTGCCGCAAAGAACTATATTAAAATGCTCTTAATGATAATAAGATAAGGATAAATAAATTTTACACTTTCTGGTGGTCCTGAAAACACAACAGACAGCTGTAGAGGAACTCAGTCTCCAATGATAAGAAAAATCTTTACAAGAAACATTAAGCAGAAATAATCTTGAAAGAAGCTGTGTAACAAATAATAGCTGTCTGGTTTCTTGAGAAATATAGAAATATAATCATTAACTCTATATTTTTTGCTTGTTAGCTAAAAATTTTTCCATCACCTAACATCTGTAATCATAACTCTATAACTGAGGCTGAACTAAAATTGTATAAAAGGCTTTGTAAAAACAACTCAGGGAGTGCAGTACTTTAAGGCTGATAGCCTGCTGAGTTTCCCTGCTGGCAAATAATGTTCCCTCCCCTATAATCTTTGGTGAGAGTCTGTTGGTTTTGATTCACTGGTCCTGCAATAATAAAATAATATAACTCTAAATGTTAGATATTATTACAATAATACTTTATCACACTTTATTTTTTTTCAAAATAACAGTCTCTAATGTAAACTAGCCAGTCCTCTTTTTGAACATCTTATCTAAACACACAGATTCTATGATCTTCCTGGTCCACTTAATGGTTGTGTGTTTTGTAACCTATCTACAATTGTGTTTATGCTTTGTGGCTTAAAACATTAAGGGTAGATTAAGATGAAAGTGAGAAAAATGCATACAAATTTGATTCTCGTTATCTGTCTAAGCGTGCACAGAGGCTTAACCCTTAACCCAAGGACAATGTGGTTGCCACATCTTAAAGCATGTGCTAACATGAACATTCAGATTTATGTATTTTTAATCAGATTGGACCCAGTTCTCATTTATACTAAGGCTAACCTCTATGACCTGTAAGGATTTTTCTGCAATTCCAGTTCTCCCAGGTCTGCACCATTTTTTTCAAATCTCATGACTATTTTATATTGAGGTCTCTAGATTTACCAAATAAAAATACAAAATATAGTTAAGTTTAAAATTTAGAAAGACAGCATGGAACATTTTAGTATACCCATGTTTGAGTATTTGCATGTAACATTTCTATGTGATTTCTATCTCATATATATACAGAGGGTGCCAAAAAATGCTATTACTTTTTGAAGTTGAATTGAATTAACATATAGTATGACATTTGCTCAAAATCAAATAAATGCTAGCATCACCACGCTATTGTCAGGTCAAAGAAAATGGTGGAAGCAAGGTTGTCCTTTGAGGAGCACGAGACCATTTTGAAGTGATATTTGGAATTCAAGATAGTTGTGGAAGTACGTGACAATGGAGGCATGAATATGCAACAGAATCTCCAACACCCCTAACAATTGCTCACATTCATGAGAAGTTTGAGATGTGTGGTGCTGTGTGTGGTATGCACAAAATAAAAGCTGGGAGACCTCACACAACAAGTTCTGCTTCTTCTACCATGTAGTTGGAACAGTTTACATGCTCACTGCAGAAGCCTTCCAGACAGTGTGCATGTGAGGCAAGAGTTAGCAGAACAAGCATAGGACACAAATAAAATAGCAAAATGGAAAGTTTTCATCCCAGGATTGTTGCATACACAAATGAAGATGACCCTGATCAAAGGGTTCAGGGTTGTGCATAATGTGCTATAATCAGAAGTGTCTGGACACCAATGGGAAACACTTGGAGCACCTCTTGTAATTGCAGAAGACAAATGTGACTTGTGTTCATCTGTCATTATTGATATAGGTTGAGTATTCTAATTTTAATACAGTTTTTCCTTTCTTAAGATGTGTATACATTTTTGGCACCCTCTGTATATATAGATAAGTATATATACTCACACACATACCTGTATATGGTGTGTGTATATATACACACATGCATACACACGTATATACTTCTTGTTTGTGTGTATTTGTATATGTATGTATATATACATATATATGTATATATAAGTATCTGTGGGTTTGTTTATTTATTTATTTTATTATTCATTTATTTATTCAGACACAGGCTGACTTTGTCACCCTTGGTAGAGTGAGATGGTGTCATAGCTCACAGGAACTTCAAACTCTTGGGCTCAAGCGATTCTCTTGCCTCAGCCTCCCAAGTAGTTGGGACTACAGGTGCTTACTACAACACCTGGCTATTTTTAGAGATGAAATCTCGCTTTAGGTCAGGCTGGTCTCTAACTCCTGAGCTTAAGCAATCCAAGTGTCTCAGCCTCCCAAAGTGCTGGGATTATAGGCATCAGCTACCACATCCAGCCTCTTTACTTACTTAAAATTCATATTGAAATGACTGTATTGAACTTTATCTATTTATCCCACACTTGATCTTGGCCAAAAGGCTGAGAAGAAATTATCTGTTAATCCCAATTCATGGAAACCACAGCTTCTTTCTCCCAGTGCAGGCTCAGCACCAATGCCCTGCACTGGAGACAGTCACATAATGGTCTAGAAGACACACTTGTCTGTATTGGAGTCATTTATAGAGCAAAGGGGCATGAACTACAGGCAGTGAGTTCTATTGAGAGGAAATTACTATAGTTCTCATCTATGTTCTTTTTTCTAATATTTTTCATTCTCTTTTTCATTTGTGGCCTATAACATATGTAAAATAATAAGATTATTCAGATACATAGTAATAAAATAATCCCATATATATTAGTGGTTATGTGAAGTATTATTTAACATGTACTGGATGTGAATCTTAAGATGTGGACACCATTGAGCCTTGAAGTGATTATTTTTCGGTATTTTCCTGAGGGCCACATGACAATATTTTTCAACTGAGCTAAGGGTGCAGAATTGTATTGTTGGAGGTATGGGTAGCTTGGTTCTGCCAGGTGAGATAAATATGTACCTTTCCTGGAGAAAGACTAAGAAAAACTATCTAATTAACTGCAGTTTCTCCTTAATGAACTCATTCATATCAAAATGTTAAAGGAACATTCTCAGCCATGATTTTCTGAGTATTAACAAAAAATACTGTCACATTATCTGCATTGCCTTACATATTTATGGGCTAGAGTAATTTCACTTGACTTTGAAAACAATTAAACTTACCTCCATCTCAGAAAAGGAATAGAGTGAATTAGTGAGATGTTTTTTTCAATATCATACAGCTGAATTATTATAAGCCCAGTATTTACTCAATTTGTTCAGGTCTATTTTTAAGAGTTTATGTGACTTAGATTTAATCCTAATAAATAGGTAAAATTATGATTGTGATGCTGTTTATAATTTTGACTGTTGAGTAAATAACATTGGTGATGAGATATATTGGTTCTTTTAGATATATGAATATATGCTTCCTTCTTCCAATTAAGATAAGATGATCATGTCACCATTAGAAGATGCCTTATATTTCCAAGCTGGAATCAGACTCACAGCCAACACATTCCTACTTTTCTTCCATATCTTCACATTCATTCTGGAGCACAGGCCACAGTTCAACAACCTCATCACCTGTCACTTGGCTTTTATTCATGTCATCTTACTTCTCATCACTGTGTTCTTGGTGTCCCCATACCTATTTGAGTCTCTACATTTTCAGAATGACTTCAAGTGTAGAAGCATTCTTCTACCTGAACAGAGCGATGAGGGGCCTCTCCATCTGCACCACCTGCCTCCTGAGTATGTTCCAGGCCATCACCATCACCCTCAGCACCTCCTGCTTGGTGAGGTTTAAACAGAAATTTACAAATAATATTATTCATTTTTTTCTCTTCCTATGGTTCCTCAACTGGTCTTTGAGTAGTAACCTGATCTTCTTCACTGTGGCTTCTTCCAGTGTGACCCTGACTAATGTGACAACTGTTAGTAAGTACTGCTCACTTTCCTCCGTAAGCTACATCATCAGCAACCTGTCTTCTGTACTGCTGATATTCGCAAATGTCTTCTTTGTAGGAACCATGCTGCTCTCAAGGACATACATGGTAATTGTATTGTGCAGGCATCAGAAACACTCCCAGCACCTTCACAGAATCAGCCTTTCCTCAAAAGACTCCCCAGAGAAAAGGGCCACCCAGACCATCCTACTGTTGGTGAGCTTCTTTGTGGCCATGTACTGGGTGGACTTGAGCGTCTCATCCTCTTCAAGCCTGCTAAGCAGATATGACCCAGTTGTTCTGAGTGTCCAGAGTGGGCAATGTCTATGCCACTGTCAGTCCATTAGTGCTCCTCAGCTCTAATAAACAGATGATTACATGCTGCAAAATATGCAGCAAAAGTGACATGGATTTTGAATAAATTAATGAAAACAATCATCTAAAGTGTTTTGCCTTCAGTTATTAAAGGAGCATATAATTTGATGTTTGATGTAATTAAATTGTGTGGAATTGTACTTTTATCATATTAAATACTTTTGAAGTTGATGCAACAAAAGACTTGGTAGTTCATTTAGTCAAATTTTAGTCCTGAAAGTCAACAGTTTTTGTTCTTTAATTTTGATTCTCTAAACTTCATATAAGACAACTTTTCTGTCTTCTTGAGATGTACACTTCAGAAACTGCTATTTGCAATAAAATATCTTGCTTTTTGTACTTTTGAAAGTAATTGACTCATTCATTGAAGATATTTCAGCTAAAAATCCAATTACAGGTTGAATAACTATTTCTCTCACTACTTTTTATGTGTATTTCTGTTTTGTGGCTCTCTTTGTGATATATGCATTGTTTTTCTTTTAAATTATTTGGTACATAGGGCGGCACCTGTGGCTCAGTGAGTACGGTGCTGGCCCCAATATACCAAGAGTGGCAAGTTCAAACCCGGTCCCAGCCAAACTGCAACAAAAAATAGTCAGGAGTTGTGACAGGCATCTGTAGTCCCAGCTACTTGGGAGGCTGAGGCAAGAGAATTGTCTAAGCCCAAGAGCTGGAAGTTGCTGTAAGCTGTGACATTATAGCACTTCACCTAGGGCAACAAAGTGAGACTGTCTCTAAAAGAAAAAAAAATTATTTGGTACATAGTAGTTGTATATATTTCTAGGGTACATCTGATGTTCTGATATAGGCATACGGTGTGTAATAATCAAATCAGAATAATTAGAGTATCCATCACCACAAGCAATTTTTTTGTGTTAGAATTATTCCATTTCCACCATTTTGGTTATTTTAATGTATATAACAATTTATGTTGTCACTCTGTTGTGCTATAAACATTAAATCTTGTTCATTCTACATATCTATATTTTTGTACTCATTAATCATTGCTTTCACCTTTGTAGATTAGAGTGCTATGGCATCACAGCTCACAGCAACCTCAAACTCTTCAGCTTAAGCAAGTCTCTTGCTGACTCAGACTCCTGAGTAGCTGGGACTCCAGGTGCTTGCCACAACACCTGGCTAGTTTTAGAGATGAGGTCTTTAGAGATGAGGTGTCTCTGACTCATGTTGGTCTCCAGCTCCTGCTCTCAGGCGATCTATCCAGTTCCGCCTCCCAGAGTGCTAGGATTACAGGCAAGAGCCATTGTCCCCAGCCTGTCTTCCTTTTTCATTCACGGCTTTTGAGAATTTCTCTTCTTTTTGGTGTCATATAGTCTGATGACTACTCCTGTTGACAGTTTCCTTTATCTTTTTATCATTTCACTTCTGCATTCAAGGATTTGTGCCCAATTTTCAACTTAGAAATTTGTAAAACATTTTTGATTATTGTGATTTATTATTTTTATATATTCTAGTGAATCTTTTTAGCTTTTTTCCTCCTATTCTTCATATAAACATAATTCTATTTTTATTACTTTGTTTCTCTTTATTTAGTGGTATTCATTCTGCTCAATATTCCAGTTTACAAATCCTTTCATCAGGCAGCCTAATTTCATATTCAGCCCTGAAAAACTTTTTTTCAGTTGTTTATTTCCTACTTAGTTTTCTAAAAAATACTTGTTCAGTTTACAGTTTCTTCCTCTTTCCAAATCATTTTTTTTTTTTTT